TCATCTGATGAGGCCATAGGCATATTGGAGGTTACTTCTAAAATTTGGTCTATTTCCTTATCATTAATTTCTTCAATCGCATTTAACAGGTATGGATTTTTTGATAGGGCATTAATAACATAATTGCTTTTCCCTTCAATATGTTTGATTTAGAATTCAAAGTCTGAAAGTTGGAAGATCCATTTCTTGATCTGAGGGTTAGTATTTTTCATCGTAAATAACCAAGTTAATGGCTTAAGATCGATGTGTATCATAATATTTTTTTCATAAAGATGATTACAAGCATACACAACGGCCAGTAAGTCAATACTAAAAATACTTGCATCAGTTGTTAAAATAAATGGCAGATTCCTGTCAGAAAATCATAGTATCAGAGCATTGAGAAGGTGTTCCTTTAGGAGGCTAAAAACTTCCTGATAAGAAGCTGGACAAATTATTTTTTCATCAATGCGAAGAGATTGTGTGTGAGGTTTGGTATTTTCAGTAATACCCAGTCTTACCGAGGAATTGTTTTATTCCTTTGTGGGTTGTAGGAAAAGAAAATTTTTCGATGGCTTCAATTTTGGACGGATTAGTTTTAAGACCTTCTTTGGCTACTATTTAGTCTAAAAATGGTAGTTCTGTTTGTAGGAACTTGGTTTTGTCAAGTTTAGTTGTTACTGAGTGCTGACTTAGTTTTTAAAAGACAATTTGTAAGTGTTTCAAGTGTTCTTCAATATTTTTGAAAATATAATAATGTCATCCATGTAGTCTAAACAGTTCAGAGTATTGCTTAACATTATATTCATGACCCTCTGAAAAGTTGGTCATGCTTTACAAAGTATGGCATTCTAAGAAATTCGTAATGACCAAATTTTGTAGAAAAAGTGGTTTTCTCTTCTCGATGGATTCTTCATCTATTTTAATCTGATGGAAACTAAATGCTAAATCTAGGATGGAAAAGATCTATCTGGGCTTTATTTAATTGACTAAGAAGATCTTCGATTTTAGATAGTGGAAACTTATCTGGGATAGTCTCCCGATTTAGTTTTCGGTATTCAATCACCATCCTAATTTTTCCTTTACCACTAGCATCTATTTTTTTGGTGCCACCCAAAGGGATGAGTTATATGGAGATTTGCTTTCTCTTATAATGTTAGATTTTAATCATTTTTGAACTTCTTGTGAAATATCTTCCTTAAATTTATGATAATATGTATAGTTTCTACTGTAAATTGGTTTTTGAATTTATTGCGTGTTTATTAAAATGCGCTAAATTATTAAATTTAGTTGATTTAAATGGATCATTTTTGTCGTTAATCATTTCTCGATATTTATTCAATAATTTATTTAAATAATTTTTCTTCTATATGTTCATGTCTCATGAGGTTTTTTATTCTATTATATATTAAGTATTATCATCTATATTACTTATAGGATTAATAGTAAGAGTATCATTTTTTAAACAATTATTATCACTAAAATTACTAGCTATAGGTATATTATTCATATGATTATTTATCGAAATCCCTTGTTTCACAGCATTTACTGGTTACAGCACATTACCCGGACTTAAGTCAAGGGTAGTCTAAACAAATTACTCTGTTGCTTTCATAAATTTACGAACAATACTAGCTGTTCCAAATAACACCGCTTTCTGCATCAGCTCCGAACATATCAACAATTCATCGAACAATTCATTGAAAGACCTAATTCCTTTATGGAGCCCACTGTTATGTCCGGAATCAGACCGTTTGATCATTAGGGGTAGAACACGGAATACGATAAAGGATATGAGAGCGATGTGAAAGAGGAACAGGATCTTTTAAAGATATGTACAAATTAATTAGTGCGTTGTGAGATTTGAATGCAAGTCGTAAGTTAGGGTTAGTAGATCGTAAAACTTTGTTTATGTTGTCCGAAAGGTTAGGAATATAAGGTAGAGATCTGTATATAGAGGCCGAAAAGGGTTGTGGAGAATTAGTGGAAGTCAAGATTAAACAAGAGCGATTATTGTGGTCTGTTATAAGTTTGTTAATGGCATGGAGAGGAAAATTATTGTTTGACAGGATCTGTTTTATGCGTTTGATATTGGTAACATGAAATCGGGGATCAGAGAGGAAGAGGCTACGGTGGATGAGATTTTTAACAACGTTAATTTTTTGGTGGTAGGGATGTTTAGAATGGAAATTTAGAAGTCTGCCAGTGTAAGTTGGTTTAGTGTACCAGTCTGTGGATATGCTTTTATTGGGATTTTTAATGATTAGAAGGCCGATAAAAGGGATAGAATTATTGAGTTTGCGTTGTACTGTAAAATTGAGGGAGGGGTGGTAAGAGTTAAAATTTGATAGCGTTTCGGGAATTTTATTTCGATTGATGATTAGGAGGAGGTCGTCTACGTATTTTCGAATAAAGATGATATCTTCTGGGTAAAGAGGAATAATGGAGTCTAGAATGTCGTTTAGAACGACGTTGGAGAAGTTCGGGAGCGAGGGGGTTACCCATTGCTAGTCCGGAGATTTGGTTAAAAAATTGTCCTTGGAAAGCGAGGTAGCCTGATTTAAGCATAGATGAAGGGATTCAAGATATGAGGAGCGGTTAAGTGAGGTGTGGGGTTCAATGATAGTCCAATTTTCATCTATTATTGTAAGTACCTTGTCTATGTCTATGGGTATGTTTGTAAATAAACTTTCAATGTCAAAGGAGCAGAGAATAAAATTGTCTGGAATGGTAAAGGAGAGTAACTGTTCACGGAGATGGAATGAGTTATGTACATTATAAGGGTTGTTGTGACTGAAAATTTGTAAGGAAGGTATTAAGAATTTGCTAAGTTTGACTAAGGGAGAATTAATATTGGTAGTGATCGGACGGAATTGGAAAAATTAGGTCCTAAACTTAAAATATTAATAATTTTGGAGGGGAGGTCTGTGGAAGAGATATTGTCTACCCATTCTTCTTTTCCTGCAGGATAAACTTTATTTTTAAGAGTGACTTGGTACAAATTTATGAACTTGGAAATTAGTATAAGTTTCTTCTGTGCTTTAGTGGAATTGAAGATATCAGAAATGCAAACGGAAAGATTATTGACGTCTTCTTGATTGATGTTGTGATCTAAAAACTTGGTGAGAACTGAAATTTGTTTATTGGGAAAATTAATATTTTGAATAGTTTCGGAGATTTTTAAGTTAAACAAAGATTTTTTGAATTTAAAAGCGGAAGTTAATAATTTTGAGTTAAACGGAGGTGATATTGAAACGCGGTTACAAGAGTTTTCGATAAATTTTGGAAAGATGGAATTAGAGCGGCATTTGAGAAGAAATATCCGCTGTTCGGTACTATTTGCAAGGCGTTGATGGAGGTGACACATGTTGTTGATGCACGGTTTAAGGTGAGGGTAGGTAGACTTTAATAAGGAAAAGGATATATGAGGCTGTGTGGAGGGTTGTACATTAAGTGCTTGAAGAGCGGTAGATGAAGAAGAAGAGTTGGCGTGAGCAATAGTGATGGCTGGCGATGAAGAGTTGGCGCGGGATGTGGTACTGGCTTGAGCTGAAGAAGGTGAGTAGTGACCAGGTGGGCGTGGCTTAAGAGGTTGCTGCTGGTAACTGTGGAGGTCTAAAGTGATTTTGAGCTCTAGTTCGGCGATGAGTAGTAAGGTGCCAGGTTTGTGGATTTTAGGAAGTCCATAAAAATGGGGGGAAACTGAATTAAAGGAGATCAGGTTTTGTGTAAGTAGGATAGGTTATAAGTTTAGAATTTAAAGATTTTTTAGGTGTAAGTTAAATTTGGTTTTTAATGATGAGGTGGGATCACGGGATGTAGGAGACTAAGTGGAACGGTCTGATAGGAGTAAAGTCATTTTGTCAGTATATTCTGTGTGGTCCATAATTACAGTTTTTTTGCCTTTATCAGCTCTGGTTATGATTATATTGTCATGAGATTTTAAGAAGGATCGGGTAAAAGAGAGGTCTTTGAAAAATTCTGGAGAAAAAGAAGAAGAGGATAATTGTGGGTGTAAGAGATAGTTGGAAATAATGTTGCAGATGGAAATGCGTGACAACTCTTTATTTTCTTTTGAAGATGTGAAAAGATCGTTTGCGTAAATATATTCGAGGTCAGTGATAAGTTGTGGAATGATTTTGACATAGGTGTTGGGTGTGGTAAAATTAGGTCCTAAACTTAAAATATTAATAACTTTGGAGGGGATGTCTGTGGAAGAGATATTGTCTACCCATTCTTGTTTTCCTGCAGGATAAACTTTATTTTTAAGAGTGACTTGGTACAAATTTTTGAACTTGGAAATTAGTATAAGTTTCTTCTGTGCTTTAGTGGCTAAGAGGTTGCTGCTGGTATCTGTGGAGGTCTAGAGTGATTTTGAGGTCTAGTTCGGTGATGAGTAGTAAGACGGTTGTTATCTGGTCGTTGGCCACGTGTAGATAGATTCATAATTGTGGGTAAATGGTTGATTGTCGTGAATAATGAAGAGAAGAATAGTTGGGGTGATCAAAATATATTAAATTAAAAGCAGCAAAATCGTAATCTGGAAAATAAAAATAAAAAACGGCGAATACAGTAATGAAAAATAAAATATGCAGCATAATGAAACATATGAGTGCTTGTCATGTGAATCTGTCCAGGTCTGATGGCGAGTTAATCACAACAACCTGCTGGCCGTCATCTCTTCGGCATTGAACCAGACGTATCTGATCTTCCCTGCAGACCTCTTCTGTTGGGCTAAACAATACAGGTGTCGGTTGGTTAAGGAAATTGCCTCGCTAACGTATATTTTGTGAGCATCATTCTCCTCCTGCCATCCCAGGGAACGATTTGAGAAGTCCTGTACAACCTTGCGCCTTTGGAACAACTTGTTTCTGAGTGACTGTCTGACGAATCTCACCAGAAGCGGGTGTATCATCCTGCCTCGATCTCATCCGCTCCGCGCAGTCGCTCTTCTGGCTTTAAGTTCAGGCCCAGGCCACCCCCCACGCCCATCATCAGGCCCATGGGTGTCTTCTCGGACCTCACCGAACACCCCTTATTTCAATCGACCTGGATAGGTGCATTTGTTCAGTCCTGTTGAGTCTAGTTTCAAGCTCCGACAACCCGGACCTGAGTGTCGCATTTTCCATCTTTAGTCCTTCCAATTTCGAAGTTTGGATATCCAGAAGGATCTCTATTACATTTAATTTTTCCGCGTTTTCGTGTGTTATAGCGGTCTCCTTCTCCAGCGTTATCTTTAACTCCTTTACCTCGTTGGCATTAGCATCTAGGGTGAATTTTAATCCTTTTATCTCCGCCGTTAGGTCTTGGATGGCGGTCATGAGGAGCTGTGATGTGGCGTCGGAGGCAGTTGGTTTCTGAGAAGCTAATCTTCCTGGACTAGAGCACTTATCGCTCGATTGACTAATTTTTTGGGTATGTCCAATTCTTCCGTGATGCCCTTCATTTTTCAATTTCACCTTCGTCTGCAATAAGGCATTTGCCATGTAGCATATAGCTTGACATGTAGAGATAGTTCACATCAGTTTTCTTATCCTCTCTGGCAACTGTCTGGCCGCATATTGGGCATGAAACCATCTTGTCTGATAAAAATAGTGAAAAATAAAAAAAATATGCTGAATATTGTGACGAAAGTTGACGTAACCCCAATCTGGATACTAGTGTTACTGACTTATAGATAGAGGCTAGAACTAGGCCTTATCTAACACATGCGCTCCCCACTCCCCGTCTCAACTAAAATGTCTAACGAGCTACCTGTAAGCCGACTGAAATCCTGGCTAACTCGCTCCTTTTGGCACAAGTTCCAGTTGAAATAAAGATTCACTCTCACCCGTGGATTCAGCACATTTAATAGACGGGCCTGGTAAAAGTATACAACGAATCTCCGTGTACAAACTACGAAATTCACGAATTAAACTCTGACTATATAATTGCTACATGCCAACCGTTCAGAGGCTTGGACCACACTGTTTGCAGAGATGACCAGCAGCAAAACCCTCACTTTATCAAGTTTATATAATTGCTTGAGCTCCTCACCAAGGTCTTGATATTTGCGATTTTTTTCCGCAACCACCTCGTGAAGGTTATCATCCGATGGCACCCTTATTTCGATAATCTTTGCATGGTTCTGATCCTTCGTTATGAACAAAATATCAGGCCTGTTGTGTGGAATAGTGTGGTCTGTTGGTTAATAATATTTTGGTCTCAGTATAGCTTGACGTTTGTCAATGACCAATTGTGGTCTATACTTATAATAAGAACAAGTGTCATCTAAAATTCCAAATTTCTTGGCTAATTCCTGATGCACGATCTTAGCCATGTTGTGTCTAACTAGATATTGGTTTCCAGCAAGCACTTGACATCCTGATGTGATGTGCTGGATCGATTCTCTTGCTGTTTTACAGTCGACACAGTTCAGCTACAGCTTCTCCATAAATACGGTGCCTATAGGGCTTTGTAGCGATGACCTGTTCCTGTATGGCTATAACGAATCCTTCTGTTTAAGGAATCAGTGTAGCCCTACGTAGCCACATCAGAGACGCATCCTTATCTAATCCTGCTGCCGATAAACTATGGTAAAATCTTCTATGTAGCTCTCTGTACTTCCACGTGTCAAGCAGAACTTCTTGATTTATAGGTGGAGGAAAGTTTTCACCTTGAAGATTCAAAGCTGTATAACCAGAGTCCAGCGCTGCAATAGCTGAGATGACTCCAGATGAACTATTGGCTCTAAAATAGTTATGGAGTTTTGCTTCTTCCTCGTGGCATGATTTTAATAAAATTGAAAGCTCTCTTCCTCCCTCTTTTCTTGACAGATTCATTCTTGCAACGGACGATTTCAGATGACGTTTCGGGGAGTTCGTCATTTGCATTCTTAGATAAGAATCTATAGTATCCAGATCTGTATTGGTCCATTTTAAAATGCCAAAGGAATAGGATAAAGCTGGCATCGCCCATGTATTTAAAGCTTTTATATTTTTTCCTGAAAGATATGTTTTGAGGATGATCTTTACACGACTCTTGAATTTATCCTCCAAATACTTTTTAATGTCTTTCTTAAATTCTAAAAGCTGATAAATACCAAGATTCTTGTACGAGTCATTTTTGTTCAGGCTGTCGATCACTGCCTTATTATAGAGCTCCATACCATTTGCACCTTTAATCTTTCCCTTGTTGACATGTAGCACACCACATTTATCCAGACTCATTTTCATGTTGATGTCTGTAGATTTATACTAATCCGTTCTATTTCGAGAAGGCTTCTCATATCGTTTTCATTCTTGGCATACAACTTTATATCGTCCATGTATAAAGAACGGTTAACAACAGCTTCTGCATCAAGTTGATAACCCTTACCTGATGACTGCAACAAGAAGCTCAAAGGATTGATCGCCAAACAGAACCAAAGTGAGCTTAGAGAGTTCCCTTGAAAGATTCCTCTATTTATCGGAATTTCCATTCAAGTTCAATGGGTTTATATATCGTATACCTGCTGATGTCGGCTGCGTCATGTATGCGTTGCCACTACTTCTCCCTCCGTAAGATTTTCGCTGTCCTCAGCGAAAAAGAATAGATAGGTCAGGTGCTGATGTAATTGTTTCGCTGTTGATATGTTATTGTTTTGAAGTTGACATCTGAGGAGTATAAGAATACGTTTCCTATTATGAAATACTGCATACAAAACCAACAGTACAAGTGTTGTGAGAATGAAATATAGATCATTATTACGTCTAGGGGGAAGCTGATTTATTTCATGTAATGGTTCAATATTAATATTTGCTTTGTGAATATCTTCAAAAGTATAATTAGTACATTGCTTATTTATTATATTAGTAGGAGAAAGAATTGAAATATAACTTTCCCAATATATAAGGGGTCTAGGGTAATTTAACAATTGTTCGGTATTATTAACATACAATAATTTTGTTAGTTTTGAATATATGTTAATAATAGGTATAAATTTAACAAAAGGGTTAGTATTATTTAAAACTAAGGTTTTACAATTATTTAAATCGTTATCATTCATTATTTGGAATATACAATCATTTGTTACATTGTCACAATAATAATTTTAATTCAATAATATATATTTTCCACTTAAAAGTAACTCATTATATCTTAGAATTAGGGATGGATGTTCTTTTATTGTCATAATTTCATTTTGTTTGTTAATAACAGGATAGGAAAGAAGGAAGAACGTCTCATAAAGTTGTGATTTTGTAGGAAATTGGATAAAATAAGATAAGAAGGTATCGTGAATAGAACAATGTACAGTCGCTAGTTGCCATAAAGTTCTTATATCAGTAGAGATGAGAGGGACTTTAGCATTTCTAATAATATTTTCTAATTCTTTATATGTTACAATACTAGAGTGAAGTATATTTAATCTACAAAATTCTAAGCTAGTATCTAAATCATTTATTTTGTTATATAATAACATTAATGTATGGAATAAAAATAAGTATTGTTGGTTAAATTCTATTACGCTAGTTTCATTTGAAAAGGTTTCAAAATAATTGCTAATTTTTAAATTTTTTGAATGAATTATTTTAATATCGTTATTAAATTCTGCCATTAGTTCTTTATTTATTGATAATTGCTGTTTAATATTATGTTCTAAATTATATTCATTGTCCTGGACTTTATCTAATATTGCGTCATACTTAGCTTTGTCGTTGGCGTTTATGTTACCGCTGATCCAAGAAATGGCTGTTCCAAGTCCGTTAATAAGTCCTCTTCTTATTCTATGATTATTAGGCTGTAAATGTTGTAGTTTGGCTTGTGTTTATTTTAAATGCATTTGTATTAGTTTTTTCTCATTGGTGTCATTATGTATCAAGTTAAGTGCTTTTAAAGATCTTTTAATATTGCTTAATTCTGTTTGTAAAATTTTAATATTTATACTATGCATATAAGTATAGGTGTCATTAATAACATAGGAGTCTTGTAATTTGATTGGTATTATTCCTGTCGATTTACTGAGGTCTGTTATTTTGTATGTTCCGACTGGAATCACAAGTAGAAGTAGAAAGATCATGTCCTGTAACAGAATCATTCTTAATTATTTTCCTTGGGCGTTTAATTCGGTTAGGGTGAATTTTAAAGGTTTTAGTTTGTTTAAATTTACCTATTCCTAATTTTTTGTTTATATTTGATAGCAAAATATTTTGGTTTATCTTTTTTATTATATGTCGTTTTTAAATAGGGATTCTCTGGTATGTTAATTTCTTTTTCGCGATATAAATTAAATTTATTTGTTCTGGAATCTTTTTCTTTTTCAATTCTATCTTTAATTATTTTATGTAATAAATTCAATTTTTCTAAATATTCATCTGTTCTTTCTTTTGTCATTTTAAAGTTTCGGTAACTTCTTCTAAATAAGAATTTTTACTTATTCCGTATGTGATTTCCATTGGCATAAATTTTAAATTAGAATTTAAAGAATTATTAAATGCAATAAGTGCTAATTTCATATGTTCCTCTGTTATCATATTTTTGTTTTCTAGTTGTATTGCGTTTAAAATTTCTATCAAGGTTAAATGTGCTCTTTCTAATAAACCTTTTGAATCAGGATGTCCTGGTGTAATGTAATATGGTTCTACGTCATAAAAATTGTTGAGGATAACGATCATTTCTTGTGTAAATGGGTCTGTCAGTTTTAATGGTATTACGTGTTTTAATAAATTTGTTTTTCTTAATTTCTCATTTTCTTCTTTTATTATTCGCGGATATTTATCCAATAGTTTAACAACCGAATTTTGTTCTTCCTTGTTTAAATGTGTTACTCTGATGCATTCTTTCATATTTAATATATTTAAATCTTATATTTCCTTTAAATTATTATCATTATTATTATTATTTTTATTATCACCATTTAATTCAACATTATTAAAATTTTCACGGAACGGCCATAGAGACCATGCGAATATCATGACATTTGGCTTTCTTGTTTTTCCTTTCTTTCCACTTCTCTCTCATTATCTCCGCGAGCCGCCGCTTTCTCTCCTTCGTCCACGCAACTCCCTTTCTCGAACTTTTCTTCTTAACAAGAACCGTGATCTCCTTTAGTCCCTTACCATACCCCTGTCCAGACAGTCCTGGGCCGTTATTCCAAGTCTTTCCGTTTCTTCCTTCATCTGCCTGATGTATCCTCCCAAGTATCTACAGATTTTTTGGAATATTTCCTTGTTAAGTCTTTCTGGGGCCATTCTTACCATATGCCCGTGGAATTTCAGTCTCCTGATCCTTATTTTTAGATCTCTTGTGTCCTTGTATATTTCCTGATTGGATCTTAGCCTGTATCCTTCTTTTGTCTTTTTGGGGCCGTAAATCCTTCTTAGAATTCTTTGCTCTATTCTCAAAAATTTTTCCAGACTGGGGAGGCATGTGGTTTCCGTCCCGTATAGTATCACAGGTTTAACAACTGTATTGTAGTGTCGTATTTTTGCTTCCGTGGACAGGTTTCTCTTGTTGTTTATATTACTGGTTGCAAAAGTTAGTTTTTCCAATTTGGCTGTTCTTTCCTTGATACTTTCTTTTTCCGAACCATTATTACATGTAGTCTCAACCAGGTACTT